GTCTTACTGCTTAGAAGCGTTTCTCCCAGTACTTAAGAGCTGCGATGTGTTTTGCTGCGGTAACTTTACACATCACTGAGTCCCGCTTACGAGACTAGGCCTGAGGGTGTCGGCACATCTCCAGCAGAGGGTGATGATGGCAGGTTTGGGGGGCGGGGAAGCGAATGATCGGTGCTGGAGCGATGGGTCCAACGTCTGTCCTCAAGCAAGACACAGGCGTGAGGAGAGGGATTTAGGGTCTCCAGCCCCACTAGAGAACTAAAACGACCCTGTATGCAAAGGCAGGACAATGTCACCTTCTCCTGGGGGCTCTGGCCTATGGACAAAGGTTTACAAACCCTTAAGAAAGCCTGGGTGGCTCAGTCGGCTGAGTGTCCAATTTTTTGTTTTGGCTCAGGTCACGAATGCAGGGTCATGGGATCAACCGACATCGGGCTCTGTGCTGAGCCTGCAGCCTGCTAAAGATTCTCTCCCTCTCGCTCTCCGTCTCTGTCTTCTTCCCCCTCCCCCTTATGCTCTCTAAAAAAAAAAACAAAAAAGATTAAAGTCATTTGTGGGGTGCCTGGGTGGCTCTGTTGGTTGAGCACCCGACTCTCGACTTCGGCTCGGGTCATGATCTCACCACTCATGAGTTGGAACCCCACGTCAGGCTCTGGCCTGCTTGGAGTTCTCTCGGTCTCTCTCGTTCTCCCTCTGTCTCTGCCCCTCCCCAGCTCATGCTCGTTCTCAAAAAATAAACATAAAAAGTCATTTCTAAAAATAAAAAGCGGGGTGCCTGGGTGGCTCAGTCGGTTAAGCGTCCAACTTCGGCTCAGGTCATGATCTCACGGTCTGTGAGTTAAGCCCCACATCGGGCTTTGTGCTGACAGCTCAGAGCCTGGAGCCCGTTTCAGATTCTGTGTCTGCCTCTCTCTCTGCCCCTCCCCTGTTCATGCCCTGTCTCTCTCTGTCTCAAAAATAAAATAAAACGTTAAAAAATAAATAAATAAAAAGCAATCTGGGGCATCTCCCCTGTGTTCTATCACTCCTGTTCCTGAGTTTATACCCAAGCTCAGTGTGACCACATGTCCACACAAAGGCCACCAAACGTTCATGGCTGCTTTATTCTCTTTTTTAAAAATGTTAATTGAGGAGCCCGGGTGGCTCAGTGGGTTGGGTGTCTGACTTCAGCTCAGGTCACGATCTCACTGGTTCTGCTCTGTGCTGACAGCTCGGAGCCTGGAGCCTGCTTCGGATTCTGTGTCTCCCTCTCTGTCTGCCCCTTCCCCGCTCATGCTCTGTCTCTCCCTCTCAAAAGTAAACATTAAAAAAAATTTCTTAATGTTTATTTTTGAGAGAGAGAGAGAGAGAGAGATTGAGATTGAGATTGCAAGCGGGGGAGGGGCAGAAGATAGGGAGAGGGAGAATCCCAGGCAGGCTCGATGCTGTCAGCCCAGAGCCTGACTTGGGGCCTGAACTCACAAACTGTGAGATCACGAGCTGAGAGCAGGAGTCAGACGCTAAGCCAACTGAGCCTCCCAGGTGAGACTGCTTTATTCTTAATAGCCCCAAACTGAAACAACCCAAGTTTACATCCAAAACAGAAGAGGCAGATAAATTGGGAGAGACTGAGAATAGCGGAGGAATTGCACTTTGGGATGCGCAAGACAGGGCAAATCACAGTCAAGTCCAGAGAACAAAGGGAGGACTATTGCTTTATAGAAAAAAGGTGAAATAGTATACAGCAAAGAACAAAGATAAATTACTGATATTCACAATATGAAAGCTAATAAAGGAGCGCCTTGCTGGCTCAGTTAGTGAAGAAAGGTGACTTTTGATCTTGGCGCGGTGAGTTCAAGCCCCACGTTGGGTGTGGAGGTTACTTTAAATTATTGATTAAAAGATTAAAAATACTTTAAATTGGCTGATTGAAATATTAAAAATAAATCAAGAAACACTTATTTTTAAAAAAAGAAAATAAAGAGGGGCGCCTGGGTGGCTCAGTCGGATGAGCATCCGACTTCGGCTCAGGTCATGATCTCAGGGTCTGTGAGTTTGAGCCCCGCATCGGGCTCTGTGCTGACCGCTCAGAGTCTGGAGCCTGCTTCCGATTCTGTGACTCCCTCTCTCTCTGCCCCTCCCCTGCTCACGCTCTGTCTCTCTCTCTGTCTCAAAAATAAATAAAACATTAAAAAAAATTTTTTTAAAAAGAAAAAGAAAAAAGAAAATAAAGAGAAACCTCATTTAGAATGGAGTCAGTAAGCCCCGAAAGGGGGAGCTCAGTTCTCACACGTAAACTTTGGGAGGAAGATTTTCTCCTGACCAGCAACAGCCCAGCCAATGAAAAACCACTGTAGCTCAGCCAATAAGAAACCACCACAAGTCAGCCAATGAGAAAGCACCATAACTCAGCCAATGAGAAGCCACCATAATCAGCCAATGAGAAACCATCCTCTGCCTGAGCGCTACCTCTCCTGCGGGGGACTTTGCTTCAAAGCAGCTCCTCCCGGCTTCCTCCTTTTTATCTAGAAAGCGACAGTCCTCCCCTTCGTTCTCCGGCCTGGGCTGTGGTTTGCCCTGTCTTGCCCATCCCAAATTGCAATTCCTCCGCCATTCTGAATAAGCTCATTTTGCTGGTAAAATAACCGGCTGTTTTATTTTTAAGGTGGAGTGCGTTAACATAGGTGAAGCTCACAGTCACCGTGTTGAGCAAAAGAAACCAGACACGAAAGGATCCATACTCGGAGTCCGTTTCGGTGCCGTTTCGGAACACAAACTCAACTACGGCGACAGCGATCGGAGGAGGATTGCCCGCGGCGCTTGGGGGCATTCCAGGGGTTGGAAGCGACGTGTAGACACACGCCTTGATCTGGGTGTGGGCTGCAGGAAATGGGTACCCATGCAAAAGTCCTCTGAGCTGTCCGTTTAAGATTCACATGCTTTAGGGCCTGTGAATTATCCTCCAACACAAATTAAGAAAGAGAAAGTAACATGCAGTGGTGGGGGGGGGGGAAATGAGCCCTTT